AAACACGCCTTCCGTCTGCATGGAGAAGCAAATAACTACACTCGTGGCTAAACCAAACACGTCTCTATCGCTGTTGTGGCCATGTCCTTAACATGGCTGTCCCAGACAAGGATGCCAATTAGTCAGAATGACACCTTGAAACGTGGTCTCAGGCGGATACCTGTGGACTGTTCTACACTGTCTGGACTGGAATCTTACGGAATCCTAGTTTTGCGTAGTTGTAGGGGTGGCCGTCGCGAGTCTGTCACGTACGTAACGAACCCGTATGAAGCCAATGTCGTACAGTTGAGCTGCTGTCAGTCGTGGAAAGTCTTCAGACAGACAAATAGAAACATATTGTTTTTAGAGCCCAACAATTCATTTTGCAAATAGTTAATTTCATGTTGGTGAGCATGGCCCCCGCGTGGCTTTTGTTTCCTTCATCCTTTTCGTATTTTTCGTCCGTACAGACATCAGAAATTCATATTTAATATTCATGATAGCATCTGGTTTAGACTATAAAGTCGGTACACATAGTCAATATATACCACTATACATACAACGTCAACCCCTAGAGTATGTCCGTCTCGATGCCATGGGTCAAGAAAGACAATAAAGAAGTCAAACGTTTTTTAACAGATCTCTAAAACATCCGTTATGTCATCCGCTCCCATATATACACCTCAGCAAAAGTCATGCACCGCCCACTATATAAAAAGGTGAGGTGGGGTGAGGTGAAATTGGGTTTAACGTCGTGCTTGAGAATATGTCGCTCATATGACGACGTGCATGCGTGTGTATGTGTATGTGCGGCTACTTGTACCAGCCCAGACTTAAGCTGGTTTTATAGTGCTATCCCACTGAGATACCATGCCGCAGTGAAGCATGAATACCCCATTCAGACACATTATACTGACTCCGAGCCCACCAGTCCTTGTCGTATCCATTAATGCCGAGCGCCAGGCAGGCACCAACAAGTACCATACTTTAACGTCTTTTGGTATGACGCGGTCGGGAATCGAACCCGCGACCTTCCGCTCTCCGGGCGGACGCTCTAAACACTACACCACGGAGGCGGTGATATAAAAAGGTTGCGTTACATACAGCTTGCTATGAAAACTATAATTATAAGCAACAATGGATTATTTACCTAGACCTTGAGCATGTTATGGGACATTTGTTGCTAAAAACTGAGCGGCATCATTTAATGACCATAAAACCCATTGATTCAAGTGATGCAAAAGTATTGTCCTTCAGAGGCCCAACATGGCGGCAGCAGAATTCTTCTGCAACAAATATACAGCAGACACATTACAGTTTTACAAAGTGAGTGAGTGAGTATGGTTTTACCCCGTTTTTAGCAATATTCCAGCAATATCACGGCGGGGGACACCGCAAATGGGTTTCACACATGGTGCTCATGTGGGGAATCGAACCCGGGTCTTCGGCGTGACGAGCGAACGCTTTAACCACTAGGCTACCCCACCGCTCCTTTACAAAGTGAAGTCGCTTCAGTATCTTGTGTACCCCTCTCTGGCAGCAATGGTGTCTCTGATACGTCGTCTCATGCTCTCGATGAATATTCCGAATGTCTTCATTGTACCCTGTCTGACACTCCTCCACTCAAGCCTGAGATAATTCTTGCAGATTGTTCATGTGACGATCTCTCAGTTTGATCTTGCGTCCCATAATGTCCCACACATGCTCCAGGGGATTCAGGGGTATCGTTTCTATTGCATTGTCTTGAAGGAACTGGCGAACTGCGCGTGCGCGCTGAGGTCGGGCATTGTCGTCCATGAATAATTGGGGACTGGCGAGAACATGGTTGTCAAAAATGAGGCACCACATGTTGATTCAGGATTTCATTTTGTTACCACTGTCCATTGCTATTCCCATGTATAACAAATCCAGTTTACAGTCCAAAGAACAGCAGCCCTCCACCATGACGATATCTACACCAAAAGGGATTTCCACCTGGATATTTCTCTGGCGTTGAGCTGTTCCTCGTGACCACCATAACCTCGCACCACCATCAGTGACGTGCAGCAAGAACCCACTTTCGTCGGACCAGTGAATACGGCGCCATGACCTCATGTTCCAGTTCTGCCTTGCCATGCACCAGTTTAGACGATCTTTGTGTCTGGGGGTCAATAGTGGTTCGAACAGGACGTCTTGCCCTCAGACCAGTGCGTCTTCGCACAGTGCTCGGAGACTCTCTGGTATGGCCGCCATTAGTTCCGTAACTGAACACTGTGGAGGAACGGATTGCGTCTGGCCATCCTGACAAGAACCTGTCTTCCTTGGCATCTGTTGTTCTCTGTCGCCCTGACCTAGCCGTGTCTTTCACGTCGCCAATGTCACCGTGTTTCGCAAACAGTCTGCTAATGGTTGTACGGCTGATAGTCAGCTGTCTGCCTATAGCCCGACATGACGCATGCCAATGCTTTGCCATCATGTTCCTATGGAGAATTTCGGCCTCATTTTACCTCAGATATCAATCCGAATTTGAATATCGACGTCAATATTACTTTACAGTAAACACCTGTTTATCTCTAATGAAGGTGCCCTCTTCCTCGTGTGCTTCACGTGCAAGTAAAAAGTCTCATGCAACATGCGTTATGCTAATATTACGCAAAAAGCTTGTCTCTACACTGGGGTGAACTATGGGCGACATCACGTCCGAAATCAATGACTTTTTGCAATTAATATTTGGTGGTGCATCACTTTTGCCGTGGTGCATTGTTGGAATATTGCTGAGTGCGGCGTTAAACAACAAACCAACCAACCGACATCAGAGGTTCTCGAATGGCTCAACGTTTCCAGCGTATTCTCCACACGTGCATTGATAATAGACGGAGCAACAGTTTGGCAGTATTATTTTGAAAGAAGTTTACAATGTAAACGTGACATGATGCTGAGATGCCACAACATGCAACGATGTCTCATATCTAAGCAGAATATTGAATTGAAACATGTCCAGGCCTACCAAAGAAAACTTTCCCACTGTGCAGAAAAACGCTGAAAAGTTTACATTAATCGTGGAAATAGCAACATAAACATAATACCACGGTACTGAAACAGTAAAAACGGCAACTTTAAATCGCTAAAACTGGATCCAAAAACGAAGAGCCTGCGCCTTCGATTTTGCGCATGCGCACATGGAAGAGGAAGCTTCAACCGCATGTTGACATTTTCCAGCTTGGACAAAAGTCCAGCTTGGACAAGCTTTTTAAAATATTTCTGTTGTGTTATTTGGCATTTATCATCATCATACTTGTGTGCACACTTGTTTAGTTTTCTTTCCATTCGTATAAAATGATTGACAGCAATTATTTCGACATATTCAATACTTTTTCTACGCGAGGCGATTCACGGCTGCTTGGTTATTTTAAAGAAACTCAGATAGTAACGCGCATGCGCAGTAGAGGTCAAAGTTCGCTGATCTAAAAATGTTGCAGTTTCATAGTCTTTCGTTACCGTTTTTACTGTTTCAGTAGCGAGGTAACATGTTTATTTTGCTATTTCCACGATTAATGTGGACTTTTCTGCGCAGTGGGAAAGTTTTCTTTGGTAGGCCTGATGTCCAGGCGAAAGATCGGAATATTACAGTCAACCTGGACCCCGTTCCACAAAGCGATCGTAGCGCTACGACTGTCGTAAGTCTATGGAAGTTACGATCATCTTTGGGTTACGATCGCTTTGAGGAACGGGGCCCTGAATTGCACGTACATAGCAATATTAACAGCAGATCCCATACATACTCAACAGCATTACCCTTGAATGTGATTATTGACTGGAATGTTACAATTTTCAACATCACTTTTATTTTGTTTAATATACTGTAAAATAAGACATTTTTCTCGCTGCGAATAGTTCCAACATTGCTGATATGGCGTTAAAAGGTGTTCGCTCACTCAGTTGCGGAATCAAACACTCGACCACACTGTCACAACATTCTTCAATAATATTGCATTTACACATAGAATACTAGATACATATGAATATGTTGATGCTGTCATTCTGTAATGCTGATAACATGTACTTGACACTGACGCAGTCAACAACGAAACAACTATGAAACATACCACTTTATGGATGACAACTTCTTGTTTATTGCATAGAGTGACGTTTCGATGTAGATTCTGACACTGTTATCAAGCTAAAAGAGACAACCAAATGATGAGAAGTATATATGCATAGTATGTTTCCACAAACAGTATTACACATGGTATGTTATGACAAACAGAAGATTAACATTAACAAGTAATTGAATAATAGGGTGATAGGTTGCTTTGATAGAGTCTATAGTTTGATTTGTAGTGGTTAGAGCGTCCCCCCGGAGAGCGGAAGGTCGCGAGTTCGATCCCCGTCCGCGTCATACCAAAAGACGTTAAAATATGGTACTTGTTGGTCCCTGTCTGGCGCTCGGCATTAATGGGTACAACAAGGACTGGTCGGCTCGGAGTCAGTATAATGTGTCTGAGTGGGGTATTCATGCTTCCCTGCTATGCGGCGTGGTATCTCAGTGGGCTAGCACTATAAAACCAGCTTCAGTCTGGGCTAGTACAAGCAGCCGCACATACACATACACACGCATGCACGTCGTCATATGAGAGAAATATTCTTAAGCACGACGTTAAACCCAATTTCACCTCACCTATAGTTTGATTAATTCTTCAAGGCCGATCGCTTTACGCAATAAACAATAGGTAGACATCCATAAAGTTTTATGTTTCATTTTGACTTTAGAAATTCTAGAATGCCTATGAAGCAATCAGGTCAACTCATGGCAAAACTGCCACAGATGCCAACCAGGCATCTCAATATCTTGAACAGGTTATGATTCTAAATATATGCAAAGTTTAAACATTGTTCTAAATATATTGAAGACATAATCTGTTTCGGTCTGAAATTACGTTTCATTTGCTGGATAAAAGATGGCATTATGTTTAATATCTGAACCCACATTTTGCAGTACTGGTCCTTTCAAGAGACATCATGTAACAAATGTTATTCCTCACCTCTGTAACGGATCTGGTCAGAGGGTGTTTCCAACGGGTCTGACTGGACTGAGATTGTTAAAGTCTGATCAGGGTACGTCCGCTAAAGAATAGGCGAGGTGGGATGATGTTTACTAGGCAATGGTCCCGAGCATAAGAACTTTTCTGATGACGCGACAATCATAGTAGTGCCCAACCCAGGCAACAGCTGTGAAGTATCAAAGCTGATTTGATCTATATGACTGATCTCAGTACAGCAACATATGGATTCACGCTCTATGATAAGTTCTATATGAGTCCTGAGCAAATTATGTTTTCTTTCAATCAGCCAAATGTTAACATTATTTCCCTGTCACTTCAAGTAACCGTGTGCCATTCCACATGAGACCAGTAGCTGGAGGCGAGGGCGATGGTGAGGTTTCTTGGATTGGTTTGGTGTCTTGGTCGTCAGCTCTGGTTTGGAGCTTGCTGCGGAGGATATCAAGGGCTTCTTGTAGAGGCATATTGATAATATGTCTATGACATTTGAGTTGACTATGGTGTCTGTGAGCTTAGCCTCTATAAGATTGTTATCGAGGGAGGAATTTCTTATGTAGCACTTGCCATCTTTGTCTAGGGGAGCTAAAAGAAACTGGGCGGTCATGTTTCACCTTCATCGACAAGATATACAAGCTATTTCACGGACTGCCGATGGACTCATTTTCTCTTCTACCTATCTCCACTCAATACTGGACGTAGTTCGAACAGTCATCCTTCTCCACAGAACCAGTCCAACTTAACCCCCACACACCCCTAACCCCACCACACACCCCACCCCACACCCCCACACACATACACACAACCTTCTTTTCCTATGACTGTCCGTTCTAAAAGTGAAGTACATCCACTACAACACCTGCATCGCCAACCTCACTCACTATCAGCCATCCTGATGTCGTCAGCAGTTACCTGAGAAAAACCTTCACTTCCCTCAATGGTTACCCTTCCCACCTAGTCTGTGCCATCAAAAGACCCTCACGAGTTCCAATTCAAAGCCCCAACCTGCCCCATCACCCTCCAGAATCACTACACACTACCAAGTCCATGTCAGCCATGGATTTCCCGTCACACGAAGAACAAAGACAACACCGACGTCACCTTTTCCAGTGGCAAGAATATCAAGACCCTTCCGAATGCCCATGGCAGACGCACCAGCAGCCCAAGTCGCAATTCTAGGAGGTTCAGACCACATCAGACATCTGTCAACAAACTCCACTGGAAATCCGCCATTTCCGAACACATCAGCAAGAATCAAGACCACATGTGGGAAGCTTAAGCTACTAAAGTTCTGTCCTCCAACAACAACTTGCGTCAACGAAAAGCACAAGGGATTCCATCCAGCCATCAACCGCGACGAAGGAACATAACTGGAACAAGTTGATTTAGTTGTGTCAACTGCTTGTCCTGATCGACATGCCCTCACAGGTTCCCCATTCTTCCTTTTATTCGTCATACTGCTTCTTATTTTTGTGACGATACGGACTGCGAATGTTAGCCTCTTCTTGCTCGATTTAAACAGGGTAGGACAACTCGCAGCGTTGACCTCGATACCTCTCTAAACACTTTAGAGTCTTCTCCCAGTGTGTTGTGAAAAAGTTGTCAGTTATAATGAATTTTATCTCAAATACTTTCAATAAAATATCTTATCATTAATCAATGCTATTACCCACCAGAAATGGGCTTCACATATTGTACCCATGTTGGGAATGGAACCCGGGTCTTCGGTGTGACGAGCGAACACCTTAACGACTAGACTACCTCCTTCACACACACACACACACACACACACACACACACACACACACACACACACACACACACACACACACACACACACACACACACACACTTCCTTTGTCCGTTACTTAGATTAAATTTGCTTTATTACCCATCTACGTCAATTAACAATTCCCTTGTTAAGTTCCACCTTGTTATTAATACATGAACATATTTAGCTATCAGCTTCCTAGTATCATTCACCTGGTGTTGGAGTAGGAATATTACAGACGCTGACATCCATAAATTTCACCCTTTATGTGTATCGCTCCTAAATGGCATTCAAAGGCTATTATTATGCTGACAGAAATAAGCACGTATTTCAATGTTTCGCTAATGTAATTGCCTTATACTTCCAGCAATGGCACGGGAGCGTGCAGCAACCAAATTAGCAGGTAACTGATGACAACTCTACCTCAGACATGAACATTTCCAGTGTTGCCTACATATTTGTTAACGCACACTGCAGGGGATTTATATAAGCTCATACACAGAATAATGTAAAACTAAACTGACGGACAAAAGAAAGTACACACCTGGTGTTTGGGGATTATTTGAAACGTGTTGTGATTTTAACTGACCACTTAGCAATTGGGCACGATATATGTGGTGTTTTGGCAACATAATAGGAAAGTCTGTGACTTATATATCACTGTAAAAACTCTTTTCAAAACATTTACGTCGCTTTTTGGAAAGTCATTCAAAAGCACCAGGTGTGTACTTTCTTTAGTACGTCAGTTTATTTCAAATAACTTAAAAATCTAAACGTGTGGGTAAACTCCCCAACAGACATTTGTCGATGGATATATATTTTGAACCACATTTTGAAAGATCTAATGACTGCGAAGACATGGGATTGTTTCAAGGAAATATTCATATGAGTAAGTATCCCAGAATACAAAATTATGAAAGAGTGACATCCACTACCAAAAACATATCAAATTGTCAAATCCTAAGAAGATTCAAGGTGATCAAGATAACCTCAAGTGTGACAAATATGTTTTCCTCCCACTCTGTGTTTACATTCAATTTGGAAATTCATAGCGGTTCAAAATCTGCTTACGGATATTACAAGCTGCAAGTTTTTTATTGGCAAGATGATGTTCACAATATATATATATATATATATATATAAGCATGTAATCTTAAAATAATTTATATTTCCTTACAATGCAAAAGTAAATTCTCCTTCAGTAAGTACATATTGAAAATGAGAATTATAGAGAAATGTCTCATTCAGAACATTGTCTTCTGGAACTACCTCCATATCTTAGAATAGGGTACATCCGCATTAGTACAACTAAGAAACTAAACGATGGAGAAGCAATGTTAGCTCCGAACGACAATGTACGTTTTTAAAGAAGTGGGCGATGAATAGCACTTTCTGTTAACATGCTAAAAAGGTCTAGCAAACGTTACAAAACTATCTAGCAAAGTATTTTAATAATATTCCCTCAGTCGATAGGTTTCCCTCAATTTTGAAACTGCGTTACACACCACTTAATTAGCCAAATAAATTAAGGAAGGTTTATTTGTGTACAAAATCTATCACGTTCGTACATAGAGAATACTACACGAGGTCTCGTTACATACGAATTATACGAAACTCGTGCCCTTCCTATGGTTTCTGACCTCGCTTTCGCTCGGTCAGATACCATAGGAAGGACTCTCTCGTTTCGTCCAATGAGACCGAGTGTGGTATTTTATTTATTACCCACGTCTTACATGCATTGAATTGACAAAATAGCGTATTTTTTGCATTGTTATGGTTTCAAACCGAAACCGATTTCATAAAGAGGTTGCGGAATAATTTTGTTCTGTAGTACACTTTTACATGACGTCACACTGTATTGACAGTGTATTGACTCTCGTACAGCCTCCTACAGTAAACTACTCCGTAGCACCCCGTTTCTTGGTTTGCAACTGCTTCACTCGGCTAACACCATTGGTGGAAACATTGCGTTTATGTTTTTCGACGGATATAATGTCTCAGTTTGACTCACAATTAAACAGCGACACGGCAACGTTCGCAATGTTTACATTCCAACAATGCATCTGAGTTGTAGAATGAATGAATTCACGTGTTTGTTATGAATGAACAAGTAGTTCCGTCACAACGTGACCTAACTGAGAGGTCATCGGTTATCCAATCAAATCGTTAGAATCTCAGGTCAAGTCGTTACGACACAGGTCAACGCGATACGAAGCTCGTGTGACGTACGAGTTACCTTTCCTTTGCAGAAACATAATAGGAAATGTTATCTATTTTCAATGTTAGCAATCACCTGGCAGGAGTTTTATATTTTTATATTTTGTTTCTTCCCATGGGAATAATAATATTACTGGGATATTATGATTTAAAATGCACTTGCCGCGTAAGAGCCACATTAGCCCTGCGATGCTGGGTTTTCAAGCGTGCCAGGATCCTGCAATGGTTGGGTGGAAACGTATCCCAGTAATGAATATTGAATTCCCAAGACCATACCCGTATTTGTGAATTTCTCCTATGTTAGATAACAGTTGTTAGCCGCACTATTCTGTTTGCACTCTATATTGTTGTTTGTTTGTTTATTTGTAGCTACATTGTATGGATGGGGTGGGGAATATAGACGGTACTTTAAGTAGTCTAAATCAGTTGTTTTGTAACTACTACCGAAGGAGGAAATGGTATGGCATTGTTTTACTTGTATAGGTTCCCGTGTCTTGTGTGTTGACTTGCGTTCATACCTGTTACTATCGTGCAATAGTGAGTGAATGAGTGAGTTTAGTTTTACGCCGCTTTTAGCAATATTCCAGCAATATCACGGCGGGGGTCACCAGAAATAGGCTTCACAAATTGTACCCATGTGGGGAATAGAACCCGCGCCTTCGGCGTGACGAGCGAACGCTTTAACCACTAGGCTACCCCACTGCCCTTTGTGCAATAGACAGTGCTATGCCATTACATATGATCTTTCATTGCTTTGTTTAACGCACGCCGGTGTGTAAATAATCTGTTGTTCCACAGAAACACCGCACAGAGAAACGTTACATGAAATTGTCACATGCTTGATTAAACATGTTTTATGTTTAATACCGCTTCAGCAGGCGAGTAGCTACATTATAATCCAGGTTATTTATTTTAAAAACGTATTTGTCCCCAATTTATAGTGTGTAAAATAAAGATTGATGTCATGTTATCTTGCAAACTGCAAATCTTGTCACTCACATAAATCCTAATCACACTAATAATTACGGTTAATTTTACGAAATGTTCGACATGTTTTTATGAGTTTTATTACATAAAATGAGGGGGGGGGGGGGGATGCTTTACATTTTAGCGTGTGAACATCAAAGTATATTGCATGTGCGAACACCTTTTGGCATTAGATTTTCT